TTGCAAGCCGACTCAACAGCCATATCTTCACGTGTGAAAGATATGGTATCTTCCACTGGTGAAAGATATCAAGTTTTCGACAAAAAAAAAAATTATAAACATAATTATAAAAACAATAAATAAAAATGAAAATTTGCAATAATATATAAAATGGGCATGATACAAAAACAGAAGAAAAAACAAACAAACAAACAAACAAAAGAAAAACAAAACAAACAAAAACAAAACAAACAAAAAAACAAAAAGCAAAAACAAACAAACAAACAAACAAACAATCAAGCAAACAAACAACAACAACAAACAATTAAAGCTAAAATATACCAAAAGTTATCAATTGAGTATATAGTACATGAAGCTAAGATCATTTTTGAGTTCTTCAAGACTAGAATGAGTCTCTCTTAGAACTACAAACACATGAAACGTTTAACAATTTCACAATTCTGTGAAATAATCCGTTTCTGAGAGCGTTCTATCGTTAGGCTAGCTACTTGTTGTCCAAATAACGCATTCAGTTCTTTGCTTAGATTTTCGTAGTGAGTGCCTAAGAAGTCAAAAACTACAGTTACTTGTCTAACTTTATATCCTGGATAAAAGTTCTTTATTCCTAGTTTCAGGCCCAAGTCCTTTTTTTGCTTGAATTGGGTCTTTTCTGTGATTGTTCCTGAAGTGGGGAGTCAGGATGGTGTGGTGGTAAAACGCTCGCCTATCACCTCTGAGGTCCGTTGTTCGAATCCCAGTCACCCCATGTGAGCTGAGTTGGTTGGTTCGTTCTCTTTCTGACTCCGAGAGTTTTTCCGGTTTTTCCGCCCTCCTCTCAAATCAACCCTAATTAATTCAAACTGGTTAGAGCTGTGCTCCGGGGTCGTACATGGACACTCAGTAGCGGCTGCCAGAGGCAACTTCACATGCTTTCAGTTCGACCCCGTTGAAATGCGCCACTGCTGTACTTGCGGTGGTGATAAGTGATGACAAGTTTGTTTTTTGTTTTTTTTTTTGCATACGGTTCCTTCTACCAAAATCCATTCCTTGTTTTTCTTGTCATTAACACTAATGTCAAGTATGTTTGCTCCGTCTTTTGGGGCTTTCTCTATGTGCCATGGGATATCCCATAGGATCTTAACATCGACATTTTCTTGACTAGGCTGTGGTGTAGATTGCTTGTACCATGGTAAAAAGTGATTAGATCGTTCATGTCCATATTTGTTAAGTAATGCGTGGTAAATTGGTCGTAACATTCTGTCGTGTCTTTGTTTGTATAACGTTTGTGCTAACTTGGAACAGCTTCCGAGGACGTGTGAAACAGTTTCCTGGTTCCTCGAGCAGATTCGAAAAGTTGGGTTGCCTATGAGTTCTTGTAGTTTGTGCATTCTGTACGTTTTTGTGTTTAACAGTTGACTAATTAGAGTGTCTACCATTATTATTATTATTCCTTTATTGCACAGCAAAATAAGAATATTACAACTCTTTTGCTGGTATACATTAACCTTCAGCTTGAGATTCTACCGGGCTTCTGAGAGCTGAAGTACTCTTCTTAAGATGTGTGCCGTGCCTAAAAGTACAGCTTTCTGTAGGTCTAAGAAGCTTATACTATCAAGTTCTAGTCTCTGAACATGATCCTTAAATTGTTTTGATATTGTTCCGAGCGATCCAATGACTATGGGAACTACCATGGTCTTCATCCTCCACAATCTTTCTATTTCTATTCTTAGGTCTTGGTACTTGTCAATCTTTTCCATTTCCTTTTGATCAATTCTACGGTCCATAGGCTCTGAGATGCCAATCAGTTTCGCCTTCTTCTTGCTCTTATCTACGACTATGATGTCCGGTCTTCTTGCTTCAATCTTCTTATCCGTGTAAACATTAAAATCCCATAGGATCTTGACCTTTTCGTTTTCCACTACTTCTAGCTCTGATTCGTGATCCCACCAATTATCTGCAGTGCACTGTATTTGGTCTTTCCTACATAGGTGCCAATGTATTGTTCTTGCCACTTTGTCATGACTGTCTTTGTACTCTCTCCCTGCCATACTTTGCATCCAGCTACAAGGTGGTCCACAGTTTCCGTATTATTATCATTATCATCATCATCATCATCATCATCATTATTATTATTATTATTATTATTATTATCATGTACATAACTGTGATATTGACATTGACACTGTCCAAGAAGCCATTAAGTCTTCTACTTAGATAACATCAGAAAAAATCTGTTAACATTTGATCAGCTACTATTTCAACTCACGCCCCATCATGTGAGCCTATAAAAATTATGTCTCAAAAACACGGTTTTTGGATCTTTTCTAAAATATTGACTATCTAGGCAAAAAACAGAAGTGGATTCAGTTAATTTAACTATTCACAGACTGTATTATATGGTTTAGATTTCTGATCTGTTGACTTTGTTTTTCAATTAGAGTTTGCGTATCAAATTGGTGAAATTTAGACATTTAATAGGAATGGAAAATGTCTAATGTAATACCTTTGTTTAAAAACGATGATCGTCAAATTAAAAATAATTACCGCCCTTTTTCTCTTCTTCCATCACTTTCTAAGATTTTAGAAAAGATCGTTTTTAAATATTTATACAAATTTCTTGATGATAAATGTTTCTTTTATCCTTTGCAATCGGGTTTTCGTCTGGGGGACTCTACAGTGAATCAACTGATTTATATCGTTCATTCTATATGAAGCACTTGAAAATGGGAAAGAAGTTCGTATGGTGTTTTTGGATATTAGCAAGGCTTTTGATCGTGTCTGACACAAAGGTCTTATCTACAAACTTGAGGCTATTGGTATAAGAGATCCTCTTCTTAAGTGGTTTCGAAGTTATCTTGCTGATCGATATCAGCGACTTGTTATCGATGGTCAGTGCTCTGACTGGATAAATATTACTGCTGGCGTGCCACAAGCTCGGTTTTAGGACCGTTACTTTTTCTAATTTATATTAACGATATCTCAGATTCTTTGGAATCTAGATGTTTCCTGTATGCAGATGACACTTTACTTTTGGAAATAGTGGACAATCCCTCACTTTCGGCAGTGAAATTCTGGTCTGATCATTGGCAAGTGACAATGAATCCTAAAAAAACTAAATAGATTTTCTTTTCTGTTAAGAAGATCAAAACTTCTCATCTTGATCTGCATTTATCGGGAAAATTTATTGATGAGGTAGTTAACCACTAGTTAATCAACTGTAGTAGCTTTGGAGCGAGTGTATTTCTATGTCCATTATAACATGCATAGACTATTAAGGCTTATTTTAAGGCTTATTATATTATTAATAATAATGGGGTTCTTATATAGCGCATTATCACATTGTCTCAATGCGCTTTACATTGCAGTGGAGGACTTTACAGGCTGCATATTAAGGCGCTACTAGCAGCCGTGCAGCTTACAATCATGAGTGATTTATTAGAACGTTAGTGTTATACCTCCGAATTGGAATAGGCTGTTGAACCGGGAGACAATCCCCTATACTCTTACACGAATAATTCAACAGGTTCTTTTATGTCCCCCACTTACTTTAGGTTAGGAAGGGTTGGGAGACAGGGCCTACGCTCTTAAGTCCTTGTCCGAGATTATTATTATTATTATTATTATTATTATTATTATTATAGTACATTCAACAAAATTACTCGACTATGATTGGTCGAGAGGAGTACAATTATAGCGTTAATTGTACTCCGTAGGAGTACCGAATTAAGTCGCTATGGCAACACGGCCAAAACAATGTCAAAACAATTATTTTCTATCATTTTGTACTTAAAAAACATATAAATATAATTTTAAAGCTGTAAGAACTAATCTTTTTTATGCATTTCAGTTGCGCGATGGACTGAAAATCGGCCGTCAAATAGACGGCGTCGCTTCACATTTTTTACTGAAATTTTGTTGAGTGAACTATAAACAAAAAATCGCACGATCTTCTCGTACAATTTGGAATTAATAGACACTCGTAATGTATTGAAAGTTCTTTAATTGCACTCGCCTAAAGGCTCGTGCAATTACAAGAACTTTCAAAACATTACTCGTGTCTATTAATTTCCAAATTGTACTCGAGATCGTGCGATTTCCTATACTTATTATTATTATTATTATTATTATTATTATTATACTATGTACTATTATTATTATACAAAGAAATAGTTGTGATTAAAACATATCAAAGCATATATTTAATCATGAGAGATGAGGCGGTAAGTCGTGTGGGATGGGCTCGGAAATCATACAAAAACATGCGTAATAGGTAAATTACGAGCCTTGTATGAAACGACTGAAGAAGAGGGCCAATGCATGGGCCTTTCATAACTTCAAGTCGCGTTAAAAATGAGCCAGCTTAACTAGAAACCGTGGTTAGCTGTTTAGAACTGCATTGGGCCTCGTCTTTTCTCTCATGTACTATTTTTTCGTGGGATTCTACCAGCTCACTAGATACACCGTGCTTACGCGACTTGAAGTTGTGAAAGGCCCATTGGCCCTCTTCTCTCGTCGTTTCATACAAGGATCGTAATTTACCCTAATATGCATGTTGTCATATATTTGATCGATGTCTGTATCCCGGCTGTATACAAATCGCGGCCAAGTCAGTGCGCATAACTGAAGAGTACGTCTCTCGTCGATGCAATTTTGTTGAGTGTATCATAAACAAACAGTCGCACGATCTTCTCGTACAATTCGGAATTTATGGATCATCTATAATCGTGATGTTTTGAAGTGTTCTCAAATGGACTCGCATCAGAAGGCTTGTCCAATTTTGAAAACTTTCAAAACATTACTCTTACCTATGAATTTCTAATTCTACTCGAGACCTTGAGATCTCCTACACTAATTTTCTTTGTTTCTCTTAATTTTTTTTGTTTTTGTTTTTTGTTTTTGTTTTTGTTATTGCAAAGTTATTGAGATTCAGTGCAAATATATATTAAATTCATTCAGCTTCATTTGTGTACTTAAACTGTACAATTCTTTAATACATCTAACTCGATTTTCTTAATCTCTAGTTAACATGAACAACAGCTCACTCGATATTATGAAAGGTGGCGCATGGCATTTAGAATTCTCTTTTGCTGAATTACTTGGCTGGATGTCATCATGCAGCATCGTGGCATTCATCGCTGTTGTTGGAAACTCGTTGGTTATTGCTGCCTTTGTAAGGGCTGTGAACCTACACTCCAGACTCAACTATTTCGTGGTTGGATTAGCAGCAGCAGATATCCTTGTAGGAGTTACTTCAATCCCAATGTGGAACTATATTCTGTACTTGACATGGAGGGGACTGGGAATATCGGTTTTGGTAACTCGTCTGTATGAARCTTTGGATGTATTTGCAGCAGTCAATTCCATTCTACATCTGATGGCGGTGAGTTCTGAGAGGCTCTACGCAACCATTAGACCATACTCCTGGAACAACAAGATGCACTCCAAGAAGATTTACTTTTGTTTTTTGGTGGTCATCTGGACCCTTTCCTCCGTCATCGCTGCATTGTTTGCAGTCCCGTTCAATAGCGCTGTTAATGAACTTCGATTCCACTTGATGAACACACTCTTCTTTTTGCCACTCGTCATCATTTGCGTTGCATACATTGGAATCTGGTTTGGAGTCAAAAGGAGAACCCATCTACGTCCAGGACATGGCAGTGAAAAATCAATCAGACTTACCCTCACTGTCTTGATTGTGATTGGTCTTTTTTTAGTTGCTTGGTTACCATTTTTTATTGTGAGGTTCATCCTGGAGGACTGCCAAAGTTACTGTGTATCATGGCGCTTGTTCTTTTTCACTAAATTTCTACACTTTAGTAATTCTGGAATTAACCCTGTAATTTATGGATTGAGGATTCCGGAATATCGAAAATTTCTGTCACAAGTCGTGCATTTGAAGTACTTGAATTTCCTTGCAAGTGCATTATTTGATCACACAAATGATTTCAGAAGACAAAGCTCTAGACTTGATACAGCTATACATGGCCCATCTAGAAGCAATTCCAAACTGATAAAGACATCGGGAGTTTAATCGAACACTGAAAGCCGTTATGCATAAGACTGCAAGCATTCTGATAAAAGTAAAAAAACTACTAACCTATTGTCTACCTTTCAGTATATTTAAAGGTAAAAAATAACTATTGATTTCCTCTCAATTCATAGTGTATTTTTTTGAGCTCAAGTTTAGCTCACTACACACTCACCCTTCCACCGGCCAGCTCACTGCAGCAAAGTGGAGAAGTCTCGTAGTTGAGAAGTCAATTAGTTCAGTTAATTCGAGTTGCTCAATCCGACGAACAGGTCATCACAGCAGTCCAGCAAAACACCACGATGGTTACTGGAACCAAGCAAAGCCACTGATGCATTCTTTGGGCTCAGTTTACAAAAAAATATACGGTTGAAAATGTTTAGATTGTGATGCAGCCAAGCCCCAACAAATATTGCAAATTTGGCTTCTCCTCGGTCACTGAAAAACTTTTTTGTGAATTAAAAAGATTAAGACTTCATTTATCAACTACTTCCCTTGCATGAATTTTCCGAAAAAAGTTTTAAAAATTAAGTTTACAATACAAATTAAGCTTTTGCTCCGAACACGAGACTTGACTGATTCAAATTTAGCTCGAAAAGTATCATGCTTTCATCTTAGGGGAATCTATGATTAGATCAGATCGAAATAAAAACGGTTTTTATCGTGTAAAAATCATGTATCATGTTATAAAAGACATCGATTGTTGGGAGAGCACTCTGGTAAAAAGAGTTACGCAACTCTTACGCTACCATCGTGCTCTCCCAACTATCCGCGTGCACCATAAATAGATTTACTCACTGCTAGAGCATTTCGTTAAAAAAAAATTGATTTTTTAAAATAAACAAATATTTTTTTCACGGTTTTGTTGTGTTATTAAAGAAATGACCAATGCTTAGTTGTGCGTATATCCAGTTCTGGATGCAGTTGGGAGGCTGCTTAAGCACTCAAGAAGCTAGAGTTGCACTGAGCTACGCCTCTTGCGACTCTTACGTTTCTTTCTTGCTTAACAGCCTCCCAAGTGCTTCCAGAACTGGATAAACGCTTGCTAAGCAAGGACCATTCCTTAATTTCTAAAAAAAAAGTAGTTTTGTTTGCATCCGACCGACAAATCAATATCTCTAAAATTTTATTAGGTTCTATTGATAATTTATTTTCATTTTGAATAAAATATAAAAAAGAATATACACCAATTATTCGCCATTATTGAGTTTTTCCAGCTAGTATAATTACATAAATTAAGCTTCTATTTGAGTTGTCCAGGGACATGTCCTCATAAGACTTATACTTGTTTTACTCAAGTAAGATTAATCAAATTACATTAATTAATTAAAACATTTAATTTCATAATTAAAACATATATTTCTTATTAGCCTTTTATAAGTAATGCTCCTTTGTTTGGGAAGGGTTAGCGAACTTTTACTAACGTTTACTAACAAATATTCCCTAATAGTTCATTGTATTATGCACTTAATGTCTATTCTTGAGGGAAACAATTCTATTTTCCGGCCTAAGAGTGTCCATGTTTCCCGAGGCGAAGCCAAGGAAACATCGAGACTCGAGGGAAATCAAAACTAAAATATATAATTTCCCCCGCAATAAATTGTACTTTGTCAACGCTGCTACTATTTTAGCCAACCAGGATCGAGCTACCAGATTTACAGATAGTAGGTTAACAGTGTTTGCCCAAAGAATGGGAGAGGAATATAGGTTCGATTGAGCAGACGTCCGAGGGAGGGAAGCTTTTTGACCGATACGAAAAACGGCTGCTAAGCTGACTACTTCTTTAGTGATCCCGCATTTAATATTTATCATATTTTATAATTTTGCATGTTTGGAAAAGTTCCATATTGTGGTATCTTTTCTTGATCTCTAATTACATTTGCATCGCTCTTAGCGCATTTCGAACTTGGTATGCAAGACGCAACATCCAACAAAATCTTTTTGAAATAGCTGTATATCAAATCCTGTGCTTGCTTTTCAGCGATTTGACTCTTACACCTCATACGGTACATGCACGTATTTGACTTCGTTTTATTTCTTCTTTTTTTTAAACTTCTATAACTAACCCAATCCTTCTGCTAATATTAAGTGAAGGCTAGTTTGTACCCTCTGCGTTCTAAAATCTACCACTGTGCATAACAAAAGAGTTTTTTTTTCAATGGTTAGTGTATACTTAAGGATTGTTATTACACAGGTGTGGATGGCTTTCTTGTTGAATTGCGAGTAGAGTCTCTACGAGTGAGACTGAATGTTCTCGACCGCCCATTTGAACGGGATTCCCTTCTGAGAAGACTTGTGAAAGTTTTCTTAAAACCAGGGATTTTAAGTGAATAGATAATAGGATTTATTGCTGAGTTGGAATAGTGTAAGAGCTTAGAAAACTGAACCACCTCATATGGGACTCCTTTACCTTTAGCTGGGTCATAGAAAAACAGAACGTTCATTGTAAAAAACGGTAGCCAAGTTACAATGAACACCACTATAACTATAAGTACAGTAATAGCAATCATAACTTCGCGGTCTTGCCGTCTTTTTTTACGTTGGAATCCATAACCTCCTCGCCTCTTGGCTTTTCGCCATATGCCCATGTAAGCTACACATATCACCAGGAATGAAACAACATAACATATCCACATTAATGTAAAAAAGGCTTTCTTTAGCCCAAGATTAGTCTTGCCAAAGGCTTGTGTCATGGCTAAGATTCCAGAGAACAGCCAAAAGGACACTAGAACTAATACATAGACCAACTTAGATGAGTTCCTGTGGCTAACTGGGTATAAAATGGCATAACATCTTTCAAGGCTTATTAACATCAGTTGAAAAATCGAAGCAAAGGAAGAAAAAATATCCACTGCGTCAAAGACTTTGGCAAGACCCTCTGGTATTGAAGCATTCCTTGTGTAGTGCCAGAATAAGCTGATGAAGAGAGGGACCGCAAACATCCCAATAAGTAGATCAGCTGTTGCAAGGCCTACGACAAAAAAATTCGTACGTGTGTGCAGCCCGGCGTTCCGTGCAAATGCAGTGATGACCATTGAATTGCCAAAGACAGCCATAACAGCCACAGTGCCGTATGCTGCACTCCAAGCTAAAACAGGTAATGCTGATAATGTGGTACTGTTTATCGTTTGCGCACTTGAATCAGGCGTTGTGTGGTTGGTCTGAGTGGAATTATTCATACCTGCAGAAAACCAGGAAAAGCATTTTTAGTCGTTTGTTTGATTATTTGAATTCCTTGTTAAAGAACTTTGAGTATCTGTCCGTCTGATAGTTAGTTGCTTGGTTGGTCGGCTATCGTATTTCTTTGTTTGGTCGTTAGTCAAGCCATTCTTGTTTTGGATTGGTTTGTTTGTTTGGCGGTTTCGTTGATATTTTAATCGATTGTTTGCTTGTTTTCTTGGTTTGGCAATTGGTGGGTTGGTGGGTTGGTGGGTTGGTGGGTTGGTGGGTTGGTGGGTTGGTGGGTTGGTGGGTTGGTGGGTTGGTGGGTTGGTGGGTTGGTGGGTTGGTGGGTTGGTGGGTTGGTGGGTTGGTGGGTTGGTGGGTTGGTGGGTTGGTGGGTTGGTGGGTTGGTGGGTTGGTGGGTTGGTGGGTTGGTGGGTTGGTGGGTTGGTGGGTTGGTGGGTTGGTGGGTTGGTGGGTTGGTGGGTTGGTGGGTTGGTGGGTTGGTAGGTTGGTGGGTTGGTTTTAGGAATTGTTTTCTTGTCTTGCATCAACTATTGTGTCACGCTTATTACCAAGTTAAAAAGTAAGTTAATTATCTTTTTTATATTATACATGAATAATTCCAAAAATTGTTTTTCTTTGTCCTTTAAAAGAATCTTGAGTGAAAACGTTCATTTAATTGATTGTCCCTTTAATTTCTACTTTCAAAGCCATTGTTTGGTCATAAACCACGTCGTGACTTACAAAAAGCAATAAAGATAAGGCTTTTGATATCAATATTTTCAATTTGTTTTTAAATCATTCGAAGGAAACTAGCTGATTCCTTCAAAAGCAACTAGCCAATCGATGCGAAGTTAACATGCACAACTTGTTAGCGTTAGCCCGAAATAGCGCCGGGCCCCACTGCTGGCTTGACCGTAATAGGATACTGTTTATATTTTTCTGTCCATAGAAAATCAGATCATATGTGGAACAAGTCTTGAATAAATTTGAATATGAGATAAAACGTATAGTTTAAAGATTTGATGACAAACATAAATATCTCTCAAACCTTCTAGGCTTTAGATTTTTCTCAACGTATCTAGTTTATTTATCTAATTTTCATTTGCAATAAACACTGGAAATGAAGTAAAAGCTGCTAGTTGATGGCAGAAAATGTCGTTTGATGACATTTACCGTTTGTCGAGATTATCTCTATTTTTCAAATTTCTGTTTTGCTTTTGTTTTTCCCTTGAATTACTTGGATAGGAATTTAAAATGGAATCTTTTATGTTTACGATTGTCATTTTATACATCAATCTAAAGTAAGACGAGGGGCACTCTGCAACATACAAAAATGTTAATTAAAAGCTCCATATGTTGATGTGAAAATCATAAAACTTACGATAAAATTTCCAAAAAACAGAATTTTGCTTGTACATTTGACTCCGAAATATTCTGAATGCTATAAATTACTCTTTGAAAGCCAAAAGCATAAAAATGACAGAAAAAATAACCTCAAAACAGTATTGTGCTCACTTGATCTTTCAAGCAGCTGCGAGCTGCTTGTTTGCCAAAAACTAATGAAAAATATAACCTAACCAATAGCTGTCCTCTGCTGAACTTTAGATGAGATGAGTATTTTCACTGAAATCCGTAATGACTATTTCAAGTGTATTCAAAAATATATAAAAGGTTGATAATTGGAAATTATGTTAATAATTTTATAAATTATATATATATATAAGATGTTTTGGCCTCAACTTGAACACTCTAGTCACTTACAGAATATGTAATTATACGAACGGCAAATATGTGCGTCAAACGAAAAACATAACATATAAAGAAAAAACTAGATGACTTCGTAAAGAAGAAGTTGTGTAACCATGTTCGGCCATTATTAAATGAAAAAAAACTCGGCTTTACGCAAAAACTGTGGGTTGTATTTGGTTCTCGATTGAAGGCGTGCGATTATTTGCACTGCTGAGAACAAGGTGTCAGTTTTTCTGTCATCTTAACATTTATGATATAAATAAATAAGAGTCAATCGAGCACTTCAATATTAAATATTCGGTGAAATATAAAATGAATATTCTGTAAAATTCAAATGCTGCACAGATCTTGCTAAACGTTAAATATTTGATATCAGGGATATGTACTGTTTAATAAACGAGCAGGAGTGTTTTATCGGGTATGAGGCTTTTAAAGATCATTTAAGGAACTCATTAATAATTCATGAAG